GGCAGCTGGAACAGCAAATGCTAAGGCCTGAGTATAAGAGAGCCAGCCAAGTTCTGGGAAGTGAAAATAGATCAGAGTGATCAGAGGAAAGAGGAAGGCGGGGGTGAGAAGGCAGAGAAAGAGAAGGGCAGAAAAGGACTGAGAAGAGGCCACTGCCTCCAAGGCCACGTAAAGCTGTGTGAGCTTAGTTGTGAAAGGTGAGCAGAGGGTTCAGGCAGTTGGAGGCTAGTGGGGAGACCATGACAGCCCGTCCAGGTTGGAACAGACCTAGCAAGGCATCAGGGGCTGTAAAGAAGTTCAGCGAGGGGTCTGGACAGGGTGAAGGGGACACTTAAGCCCTGCTCAAGGAGGGCCAGGAAGTTTGGGGAGCTGACGGGCCAGGCGAGGGAGACCAAGGGCTGCCCTTGAGGCATAGGCCAGTGGAGGGCAGGGTCCAGTCGCCCCCATCTCCGCCCACAGGAGTAAACCCCACTGGAGGCTCAGGCAGGACTGATGGATATTCTGTTACCCCAACTGGTCACAGCAACAGGGAGGAATGAAGGCATGCAGCTGGGTGGTGGGTGCATGGCTCTTGGGGCCCCTTAGGTCTGCTGTAGGCACCCAGTTTTCCAAGGAGAGCCTGAGTCAGCACCACAGTGGCTGCTCAGTGGTTCTGGCCTTCCTCCACCCCCTCCCTGCCACCCCAGCCACTTGGGAGAGTCATTTCATTTCTCAAATTAAAAATCCATTTTGTGCTGTGAATAATAGATGGGATGAGTCCTGAGAGGCTGGGTGGAGGGCAGGAAGCTGGTTGCGGGGCGGGTGGTGGGGAGGTGTGGAGGGGGGGGTTTCTGGATGCAGAAGATACTACAGATTTGTTGGAGAGGAGCTGAGACTGATTGGACAGTATAGGGGGTGGAGGGCATCTCCCAGATCTGACCCCCTGCTCTGACATGCTGAGGCAGGGCTAGGGCTTCCACCTCATCCCACACACAGGCTAGAGGAGGGAGAAACTGGTCTGACCACGACTGAGCTCCAGGCGGGGTCCAGCCTGGCGTGAGGGTGGCATCCCTCCCTTAGAGCAAGGCACTTAGCACCTCACTTGGTGATTGCTCAACAGATAGGAGGCATTAGAGTGAGTGCTACTGTCCCAAACAGCAGGACCCACCAGAGCTGATTTGAGATTGGGTCTCAGACCACTCAGTCCCGATCACTCCTGCACTGACTGCCAATAAAAAGGGCCCCAAGGCCCACCCCCTTGGCTCTTTCACCCCTTCTCAGAAAGGGAAGCTGAGGCTGTAGATGGGTGAGAGGCACTGGTCTGGCCTCCAGTTCCCCGGTCCCCAGCTTGTGAGGGTAGGGGTGGGGGCAGCAGCTAGAGCTGCCTTGGAGAGAAGGCCCTAGGGGTGTATAGGCCAGAGGTGAGGGATTGGGAACCCCACTCTCTGCCTCCTTCCTGACCAAGGGCAGATCCCAGATGCCCTGCTGCATGGGGCATCACTGGGTCTGGGTTCTGGGGAAGGGACTTTCAGTAGCCCTGACTCCAGGGAGCTGGGGGCCAGACCAGGGGTGCCTCCCCTGGTCTGGTCTTCAACTTGGCAGGGTTAAGCTGGGCACTGCTGTGGTCTGGCATTGTTTTGCTCATGAGTCATGGGGTCACCTTGGCAACTAGGAATGAGGGAGGAGCCCCCAAAAGAGTGAGGGAGCTGGAGGCCAGACCACCGGCATTCCTCATTCACCTGCAGCCTCAGTTTTCCTTTCTGAGAAGGGGCAGAAGAGCCAAGGGGGTAGACCTCGGGCCTCTCATCACTGGCAGTCGGTGCAGGGGTGACAAGGACTGTGTGGTCACAGTCCCAAGTTAATTCCAGTAGGCCCTGGTTGCTGCACTCTGGACTGGGGTCAGGCCTGGGGAGCCTCATGGGGCTGGGTATGGGAGATGAGATGTGAACAGAGCAGGCAAGATGGAGCCGGGCAGGCAGGGAGCCTGGCTGGGAGTCGGGAGGCTGATGAACAGATCAATAGTAGCTGATTCTGGGAGCGGGATGGCCAGAAGGGGGGTCCCAGTGCTGACCTGGGAGGGAGGAGGTACCGAGAGCCTGGGTCCCCACCCCCCGTGGCTGGAGCAGGAGTGTCCCTAGGGAAGCATGTTTGCTTCTGTGCCTTTCTGTCGGAAGAGTGTCGGCCCTGAGACAATATCCATTTTTATATTTCTTGGAAATTTCACGGCATTCATTTCGGGGAAAATAAAAGCTGTCATTGCTGGAGAAATGATACCAATCAGGGCCTGAAAAGGCTGGAAAATTATCCTCCTGGAGACGGAACGTTGAGGGAAAAATGCAGATTAAAAGCACAAAGAGCCACTTTGCCACCTCCCTGCCCTCCCCTCCCCCCTCATGGAATCACCGCATTTTAAGTAATTCCATTTTTCCTCCTTAGAATTAATAGGACCCCAAAAGAATGCAAGGAGCAGGGGAGGACCCTGGGGTGGCCAGAGCTGGAGGCGGAGTATCCGGAATGGGGCTTAGAGATGGAGAGATGAACAGAAAGAGTGCAGGCGGGACCGGGGCAGAGGATACCATTCCGGGCCAATAACCCAGTAGCTGGGTAGATGTGCAGCCCCAGGGGAGGACAGGGTGATGGGTGGGTCCTTGGAATTGCCACCTTGTCATCGTTTATATCAGATGGTGCTACACGGCTATCTCAAACATTGTTTAAGTCAGTCTTGCAGGCTGGAGTCAGCAGGCCTGGGAAGGCTGGTGCTTTGTGGGGTCTCCTGTTAGGGACATCATTTGGAGACAGGATAGGGCCCAGCAGGTCAGAGAAAGCAGACTCCAGAAACAGTATCAATCTTCCAAAAAGCCCTGAATTCTCTGTGTTCCATGAGGGCCAGGCCCTGTGGCCACAGCTGGACACAGGCAGAAGTGGGCTCTGCCTGCAGGCAAGGGGAGGTCCCACATGAAAAAAGTAAGAAGTTCAACTGGAAGAAAGCAGGGGGTGGGTAGATTCCGAGTCCCCCTCCCACCTAGGCTGTCTTCCCACATACCAGGGTCCTGAGCTTGGGGCATGTCTGAGAACTGGGGCTGCTGTGCAGAGGGGGCAGGCTCCTGTCCTGTCTCCAGCAGGGAGTCCTCTCCTTCCTCTGTAGGACTTTTCTTCCTACCGGGGCCAGGGAGATCCTGAGCGTGGTGCCCGTGTCAGCCAAGGCTGGGGGCCCTGCTGCTCTCCCTACCTCTTACCCGCCGATCTCAGCCCCAGGCGGTCTTCCTGCAGGCCTCC